TACTACGACATAACTTTTTACTTTCCCTGTAACCTACTTAAGGTGGTGTTGCATAGCAAGTCGGGGGATATTTTCTATTTGCAGAGCGCAGCGACGGCGCCGAGTAGCGCAGCGACGAGTGCCGCAAACTGTGTAGATAATCACTGTTGAGGTCCTCCGCGCGGTAATATAGTAAGTAGGTAGTGTTGCGCGCATGCATATATAAACGAAAATTAAAAACTTTGGAAGGCCATAACTTCGAAACAAAGTGAGAGCGACAAATTTTGATTGCACCATCGTTCTTAACTCGATAAGTTACATAAGTTTCGATAAAAAAAATTCAAAATAGCGCGGGGGAGCTAAACTGCAATTGTTCCCGGGTTATGTATCCAATCCGCCATACACAAATGCCCTATAACTCATAGATTACCATACAGCGACGATTGATAGCTAGACATTCCATTACAATTATTTGCAATTCCTAATTTCTTATAAAGTCAACAAAACAGAACAGGACATACAACGGGGCACGGTATTACAGTATTACACCAATCGCAGGTGGATTGCATACCTGGTAATATACGCTTCACATATTGTCCGCGATCCGACGCAGTCGGATTACCTACCTATGTGATTTGATGACTGATAGCTAGACAATCAAATACACATATCGATAGTACAATTTTTAATAATTTCAACAACCAAAAGCAGCTGACTAGAGATCCTGGAGATCGTACCTATTTACAATGTTTGTGACGAATTGCTAGAAGATCAAACTTTTAAATATTCCTGCCAATGCGCCAATCCTTATCTCCAATCCATATCACTAATCCTAAACTTTTGACTTACAACCCTTGTGATTTTTATAATTCCAACGACATTGTCTCCGAAATCGGTACTCACTTACAAACAAACACAGGGGGGGGGTCCGGGGGTCTCCCCCGGCTAGAACGGAGGGCTAGTCTATACTATAAAATATAAATATATAAAGAAAATAATATATTGTAGGGCAGTAGGGCACCAAGTAATTTTTGTTACTAGGGCACCATAAGTTCTAGTTGCGCCACTGGGCCTTCGGATCAGTATTCTAATACTAATCACTTAAGTATAATAAAATTATACAGTATTTAACCAGTATATTGAATATTATATACCTACCTACCTACATGATATATAAATTGTAATACAATATTGTAATAAACATAATATAAGATAAATAAATATAAGATATTATAAAAATGGGAGTGCCCGTCTCATTTTGAAGTTTGAACGAAATTTGAATTCGTTTACGGAAATTATTTTGTTAAGTATATATGATTGATAAAAAATTTATTTGGAAAGTATTTTCAGGATATTGTTATTATTATTATTATATATTGTAATTAATATTGCTTGTAAAAATAATTTAGTTTTATTATATTATTTTAAACACAATCGGATATAAAATAAAATTATTTATAATATATATTATGTTGAAACGGAAATCGGAATCGACGTCGATATCGGTTTTTGATCAATGATCACTATCTCAATTCTCAGATATCATATACCTATGTGCAAGCAGCAGCTGCAGCAGCAAAGGCACAAATAGATAACAGTTAACAGTTAACAGACTACAGAGCACGGACTAAGATATACAGGACTGGACACGACAAGGTTGGAGGGTGTGGGGGGTTGACTACGAAATGTTTTACAACAGGCAGTGTTGGGGGGGGGATATTTTCCTTTTAGCATTACTAGCGCCGTCTTAGTGGATACTTTTGGAACTAGATGACAATAATGTGATCTAGTTCCATAAGTATCCACTAAGACGGCGCTAGTAATGCTAAAAGGAAAATATCCCCCCGAACTCCGCCTGTTGTAAAACATTTCGTAACCACAATATTCATCTCGTGTCCAGTCCTGTATACCTTAGTCCGTGCTACAGAGTATTAAAATTTATAATTTTATAAATATAATAATAATAAAGTATAGCATAGGGTAGTGACTAGTGGGAGAGAGAAGGACGTCCTGGTCGTCCTGCACTTCACTCACTCATTCCACCATGCTATCAGTTGAGCAGGAAGAGAGTCGAGGGGTGACGATTCTTCTGAACACGCACTCCACGGCGAGCTCAAAAGAACGTGGCTAATTATAGAATTCGTAAACGGATTCAAATATAATATCATAATATCTATATATATAAAAATGAATGTATGTCAGTGTGTGTGTCTGTGTGTCCATGTTACCATGGTTACCAAGGTTGCCATGGTTACTAAGGTTACCAAGATTTCATATCAATCTATATATATAAAAATGAATGTATGTCAGTGTGTGTGTGTGTGTGTGTGTGTGTGTGTGTCCATATTACCATGGCAACCATATCTGTATATAAAAAACAGTAAGCTGATTGACTGCTATCAACGCACAGCTCAAACCATTGGACGGATCTGGCTGAAATTTGGCATACGGATAGCTATTATAATATAGACGTGCGCTAAGAAAGGATTTGCCAAAATTCGCATTTTAAATAGGTGCTGAAACAGGGACATTGAGATTCACGATAGAAATTGGAAATTTTATTTTTATTTATTTATAGTTGCCATTGGTTACAGTCTACATTACAAATTAGCATTTATTTATTGGTTGCCATTGGTTATTCGGGCAGATCAGGTACAAGCTTGCATCAAATCGAATTATTGAACAATGCTTACCAGGGTGGCAGAGTTGCACTTACCGCAGAAAATTACACCCAAAAGGAGTTGCGATTTTTTACGAGCAACCAAATTTTTTATATTAATCCACAGTATTACATCAAAATAAACTTGGTATAACTTTGATACTTTAGAGTTAAATCATACACTTCCGTACAAACAGCACGGGGTCCGCGATCTACCGCAGGTAGATTGCCTACCTGATAATGTACTGCTGCGATTCAGAATTTTTATTCAGGGCAACGGGAAAGATAAGATAAATTTTGAACACCATACACGTTAATGAATTGAACAAAGTTTGAGTAGGTAGTATTGAGTTGATCCATTTAACGGGCGACGAAGTGCACGGGATCAGCTAGTAAGAAATAAAAACCAATATGGCTAAATATAGATAGGTTGTTATTTTCTGGCGGCGCGATGTTGATAATATTTATTTACGTCCAGCGTGCTGGTTGTCACTACTCACTAGTCATTATATTATTATTATTAAAAGCGGTTATGCAGTTGGCAACAATAATGCGCAATAACGATAACGGTCGATGGGTTTTTTGTTTTTTTGTTTATACTTTATATTAACCAGAGTGCCGAAAATCGGAGAATGAGCTGTCGAGCACAACGCTAAATTCAAATATTTTCTGACATTAAAAAGAACAATATCTACCTATCCGAAAGCCGTAAGTATATGATATGTTATTTTAATTATTATAATAGTAATTAGTAATATTATTACGTAATTGTTATGAATTGTAACTTTGTGAGTTAGGTATAACTTATATTATTCAGCATGCTTATGAAATGCAGTTCACACAATTATGTAAAATTGGGTACTGGTAGATAATTTTTTTTCGCATGACTTAGGTATTTGAGTAAATTATCTGGCATTTCTGATACTTGTGCTTGAAAAATTTTATAAAACTGTGATATCTTGGATACATTGGCTATGTCGATTGTTACGTAGCTACTTAATAAATATATAATCCTATATATTATATTCACACATAACCCATTCACAATTAATCAGACAATTGGCAAAATAAATATTATGGTAAGAGTAATGTGAAGCTCATTGTAATGTTTTAGTTAAAAAAGTAATTTCATATTACACATACTATTAGGGAAGAGCTAACCATCAAAATTCAAAAGGAAATGGTTTCCTATATTATTAAATGCTAGTGTGAGCCAAATACAAGTCACCATTACCAAAGCCCCCACTCTTTTAGTAAGGACCATATAAAAGGGGGTCTGTTGTAAGGGCTCTGCAGACGGTTAAGAATTTCTAAGACACTTGAAGGTAGGTCGTATACCACTCTTTAGTCTTCAATATCAATTTAAAGTTAAGTGTTAACTCATCATCCAACATACCTATAATAATAATATAATTACTCTATTACTGTAATATTATTTAAAAATATACGTTTATTAAGACTTAAAACAATACTTCAAACAAGCTATTAAAAATCTAAATATTTAATTGTGTATAATTTTTTGTAGGTAATATATTTTTATTATTTAATAACTAATTACATATAAAACATAGCAAATAGTGCTGTTTGCTTAATAATATATTGTTTAAGTAAATAAAATAAAAGGTGATAATTAAAATATATTCATAGAACACAAATTAATAAATGTTTTAAGTAATGTAAATTATGTTCCTCCTATACCTCCCAGCTACTAATAAAATATTAAATACCTATAAACCGACTATAACCTCTAATATTATTTTTTTTTGATATCATAAGTATTTACCTAGATACCTAATTAGTTAATGTAGAGATTCATTTGCTGATCATTATCATAAATTAACCTTAATTTTTAGTGGAACAGAAAAATATTTATACATCTTTCTTTTCTTAATACAAACAATGAACCAAACACCAACATTTATAGAATTAGAAAAGTCATAATATTAGTAGGGCTTCCAAATACTTTAGGTTTTCTTTTAGTGAAGAATAATTATTTATTATTCCTCAACATATAATTAATCCGTTTTTTGCACAAGTCAATTTATGATACTGGTTCTACTTACTTGATTTAACTGTTATCGTGCCACCCATTTTATAGGTATAATCTGTGGTATTCCTAGCTATAAACATGTAAAATTTATCAATTTGTATCAAAATAATAAATTCAGTTCATAAAATCATAATATAGATACATGATAAAAGGGGTTTTTTTTTATACAAATTGAAATACTTTTATACCAAATACTTAGGTACCTACCTACCTAAATATTATAAAATAATTATTTTGTATTATTTTTTTTTTTTTTTTATAGGAAAATAAATAATAATAATATAGCTACGGCACACATGTACCTTGTTAATAATGATTAGAACTAATAGAACTAAAAAAAGAAAAATTAATCGGGAGCTACATGATATTCAAACAATATACTCGGCAAGAGACACAAATGTTGAAAGCAGTGAACCGGATTTTGCAAATGAAGTCTTGCTCTCTACAAATGGTCTAATACTTCCATCAATGTCTAATACTTTTTGCCAAAATAATACAACCAAAACCACATATATTACATCTTCTATAAATTCAGAAGTTGAAACCCAAGAAGGGGAGGTAGTAATACAAAATGAAGATGAGGTTGTAATACAACAACAAATTGAGGTGGTACAAAGAATTGAAACAATCAGTACTTTTAAAGAGGATTTGATTGCTTGGGCCATTGAGTGTAAAGTTTGTCAAAGTACTGTAAATAAATTGTTGAAGATCATGAAAAAAAGAAATACTATAAATACTGATAATCTTCCTAGTGACTGTAGAACACTTTTACAAACACCTATAACATTAAGTGCTAATATTCGTAATGTTGATCCTGCAAGTTGTTATCATTTTGGATTGGCAGCAGGGATTAAAAGATATGATACATCTAATTTGAATGACATAAAAATTGCTATTGGCATTGACGGTTTGCCCTTAGCTAAGAGTAGCAACAGCCAATTTTGGCCAATTTTGGCATTTATTGTTGATGAGGCAAAATATGTATTTCCCATAGGAGTTTATCACGGAAATGCTAAACCAATGGACAGCAATGATTTTTTGGCAGATTTCATTACTGAAATTAAAGATCTTTTGGTTAATGGCATTAATATTGATGGTTCTAATAAAAAAGTATCTATTCATGTTTTTGTGTGTGATGCGCCGGCAAAATCGTTTGTCTTGAAAATAAAAGGACACTCTGGATTTTATTCGTGTACTCGATGTACTCAAGAAGGTGAGTATTTTAAGAACAGAGTGTGTTTTCCTTATTCTAAAGAGAAATCAGATGAAAGAACCCATGAAGCTTATCTTAATATGTTAAACGAAGAACATCATGTTGGAAATACATTATCACAACTTGTAGAATTGCCAGGATTGGATTTGATCCAAACATTTTCATTAGACTATATGCATTTAGTTTGTCTGGGAGCTGTACGGAAACTTATTTTACTCTAGTTAAATAAAGGACCTTTAAAAGTTTGTTTACCAAATTGTGATGTCCATAAACTATCCAAGTCATTATTAGAGATTAAATCTTTCATTCCATCAGATTTTGCTAGGAAAACAAGGGAATTACAAGATATTGGTAGGTGGAAGGCCACTGAACTTAGGTTATTTTTGCTTTATATTGGACCAATTGTTCTAAAATATATGACCAATAAAGATGTATTAACAAACTTTATGTGTTTGCATGTTTCTATGTTGATATTACTTAGTCCAAACCGAGCATGTCACTTAGAGTATGCGAAAGAACTTTTAGACTACTTTGTTAACACATTTCAAATAATTTATGGCCGTGAACATATATCACACAATATTCATGGACTTCTACATTTAACAGATGATTACAGATATCATGGACCTCTTGATAACAGTAGTGCATTTGCATTTGAGAATTATATGAAGGAGTTGAAGTCTAATGTTAGAAAATATGATAAACCTCTCGAACAACTAATCAACAGATATACTGAGTTATACAACCAACCACATACGCATTTAGTAAAAAATCTAAAACAACACAAAATGCTTTCTCGACCACATAGGAATGGGCCATTAATTGATGATATTAAAGGAATACAATATTGTCAATTAAATGTTGGTAAAATAAAAATTAACATATCAGTAGATAAAGAAAGTTATATTTTAACTAAAAATGAAGAAGTTGTCAAGTGATTGAATATTGTACATATCCAAAATAACATTGTACTAATTGGAAAAACATTTGAATACAAAACCATGTTATATGAAAAACCAATGGATTCAACAATATTTGATATTTTTATCGTTAAAAAACTGTCTCATGATTTAAAAATCTGGGATATTTCAGAAATAAAAAAAAAAGTCATGTTAATATATGATGGTATATCATCAATAGCTATGCCTATAATCCATACATAAATAAAAATGTCTATTATTGTATATATTTTATATATAAATGTATATAATTTTATTTATATATTATATATAAATGTAATTTAAAAATTCATACATATACTTATTAAAAATGCTAAGAAATAAAAACATGTATAATGTATATATAATATATATTATATATCTAACTAATAATTGTGAGTAGATAAAATAATTTTTTTAATTAGTGGTTTAACTTAAACTTAATTTTTATGTTTAGATGTGGAACGTCGTTCATTTTTTACAGGATGATTCAGTAGAATCTGTTCCTAATTTTTGGTACAAAAAAATACATAAAACATGTGCATGGCCGTTAATAAAAAGTTCAACTAAAAAAATGATTGAAAGAAGAACACAACCAAATGAAATAGACTTTAAATGGTATCCAGCTAGAATCCTTGGTCGAAATTATGGCAAGCATATTATTTTATTTCAACATTAATACCTACCTTAAATGACATTAAAATTCAAATAAATTCTTATAAAGTTTAGAAGAAGCACGCGTAAAAGCAAAAAAAGCTCAATATTTTACTGATTTATCTTCAGCAAATGAAGATTATGGTTATACAAGATTCAATCATAAATTAGAAGGAATTCCAAGTCCTCCAGCTTTAAAAACAAGTAATACATTATTTTACCCTTATTTTAAAATTGTTTCAGTGAACATTAACCATGAATTAAATAGATAGACTTATTATTACCTATATTTTATTACATCAGGAAAACTAAATATAGAATTACCAAGCAGGTTACTATTATAGCTGCATCTGTGGTTATTTTTATTAGTTTTTTAACTATTATACATGTCATGTCTAATATCTAATATCTATAATAATATTATTATATATAAATATATGATGAACACCTCTTATAATATTCAGTTTTTATAAATGTATTCATTATTCATATTTTACTATTTTGATATAATTTTATGATTTTATTATTTGTATTTAATAGATAATGAGAAATTTTCAACCAAGAAAAATAGTAATTGTAATCTAATTCGATCTGAAAGCGAAAATAGTCTTATTTACGATTCTGATAAAGATCCTGAGTACAGTTGTAGTCAACCTGCTAAAATTACAGGTAAATACAAGTATGCATGGTATACGTATAACAGTCTCAAAAATTAAATACATTGTTAAATAAATATATTTAATTTATAGACAATTGTGCTTAGTATATAGTATAAGATTATTTATTTTTATTTTTTAATACTGAAAAATAAAAAATTATAACTGATTTTAAGTTGAATGAAAAAATTCAAAACAGTCAATTTGTAAATTTGGTTTTTATAAAAACTGATACCAATAAAACTTTTATTTAAGTCAACTGGTTTATTTTTTACAAATGTTTATAATTTCAATATTTTTGTTCAGTGAATTGATCTAATTATTAACGTAAAAAAAATATTATAAATTCAAAAATCAAAAATATATTTTTTTTTTAAATATATTATACATAACAATATCATCTTCATAATTATGTTTAGTTGATTGTAATTTGTAACCCATACTAATTATAAATATTTGTACTCAGTTCATACAACACCTGATAAATGTTCACCAAACAATTTAAACATTACAATGATGAATTCACCAATTGGGAAAATTATTGTTGAAAATATCAGTCCGCTACATTCTACGCAAAGTTTCTCCCATGCATCTACCAGCCAATGTACACCACAAACCAATCCAGTTATAAGAACTTTGTTTTCATCTGAACCTTCGTCTAAACGCTTTAATTCAGGTAAAATAGTATTTTACAATAAAGTTCAAGTTTATTTGTAATTCTAAGTTCATAATATTTAGTACATAAAAAATAATATATATATTATTAATCGTATATTATATTATACATATGTAATTCATATAGATGATACAGTCTCAGTTTCTACATCTTCTAACATGAAAAACAACAAACAAAAACAAAATGCTTCTTTTTCAATGCCTCCTGAAGGTAAGTTAAAAATTATAGTTGAAATAATATGTAATATTATTTAAACATAGTATATTATATAAATTATAATATAATGCATATTGTAATTTTAATACAATAAATAATAATATTTATTTGATGAGTTTCATAATATATATTATTATGTTTTTATATTAAAATTACAAATTTACAAATTATATGGTCGGTCTACAACAGCGGTTCTTAACCTTTTTATATCAAAGTACCACGTACATAGCTTAAAAATGTTCATGTACCACTTAACCAAATAACCTTTTTTTTTATCAAAAATATATATGCTATTTTACCATGTATAGGATTTTATTTTATTTGAAACTACAATAAATTATAATAATATAAGCATTTAATGCACAAAAATAAAATAAAATGGTATGTACAACTATTATTCATATTATTATTAATATCAAATAAACCAAATAATATTAATCCACTCCATTTTTTCATAAAGAGAGATCTATGAGCTTTTTAAGTACCACTAGTACCATAGGTTGAGAAACATTGGTCTATATCAATACTCTATTATTATTAAATCTAACATTGATTTTATTGAAGGAGTTAATAGCTTTAAAATTCAACATAATTATTAATATAATATATAATATATATAATAACCCGGTTTATTCGTTTGAATAAATTATTATTAATTTAATTATAATTACTATAAACTTCTGTGCCACTTAACCATTAGATGTAAGTAATTTAATTTATATCTTTTTGCATATTACTATTTAGAAATTACAATGTATTATTTAAATCTGTATATCCTAAAATTAGCTAATAATTTCTATTAACCAAACAATTATTTATTAACTTATTCAGAGTAACAACTAAACAAAAGTTAAATTTTATTTACAAAAGATATTAAATGACTAAATTGTTAATTTATATTTATTTATAATTTATCTTTGAAAACTAAATAAACCTTTTGAATTTTTATGTTTAGTAATGGTATTAATAGAAAAAATACCTCTTAATATTGAATACTAATACAAATTTAAATACAATATTAAAACAATGTTTTATACAACTATCCCTTGTAAAACTATATATGTTACTAATATTGTTACAGATTTTCAAAACTTTGTTATAAGTACATTAACAAAAGTGAAGTACGATATTGCTGGATTAACTCATACAGTAAATGCGTCTCATTTAATTTTGGATAGCATTCAAAATATGCCTGTGAATTCATCAACCTTATCAAATGAATTTCAAGAAACTTTTATTCTAGATGAAATATTTCCAATTAAATCAAATGATGAACTTGAACATTTTGAAAGACAAATTGAAAATGATAAACACTTCAGATCTAATATAGTAAGTCTAATATGTATTACTTATAAATTAGTCTCATAAATACATGGAACAATATACCTACATGATCAATGTATTATTATTTATTTATTTAATAAATTAATATATTTTATTTTACTTCCAGTCCTCAAAATTATCATTAATGGTTGGTATAAAAAATGTTGGTGACAGCGTGCGGCGATTAATGTCAAAAATGTTTAAAGATGAAATTTTAGTAGAATACTCCTTACAAGGTTTTAAAAAGAAGAAGAGTTTTCAAAAACTTGGAATTTATCGTTTACTGATTGGTAAATTAGATGCTAATTTGTTCTTTAATTAAAATACTAAAATAGTGTCTTATATTTCACAGATGCCATTAAAGTCCACCGAAAGTTTAACAATTTAATTGACAAAGAGTTTGATGTACCGCTTGCAACTTGGATAGCACATGCCAAATTTAGATTGATGAATCATAAAAACATAGACAAATCATAAATTATTTGATTAAATTTAATAATATTATTTATACAAGATCCAAGAAGGATATTTTTCGTTATTTATAATAAAATATGTAAAATTAATTAATATTGATCAGACGAATATTTTTTATACTTTTTTTGAAGTATACAATTTTAAATTGATCCAAGGAGAATTTTTTTTTTTTTTGTTATTTTAAATAAAATATGTAAAACTAATTGATCCGAGTCAGATATTTTTTTATGCTTTTATTAATTCAGATATGCAAGTATAATATTTGGTTTGGGAAGAACTTTTTT